GAGCCTGTTCGCCTTGAGAGATCAGTTGTCTCCAAGAACGACATTCTGCAACCCCTATTCGAGCTAGGATGTTGGTCTGCAGGTTGTGTCGACAGGTCTCTACTAAGGTAGACTGTGTCATACCTGACGAACACCGGAGAGCCATGGTTCGAAACCTCTTGACGAAGGCTTTGACGGACTCCCTCTTCTTCTGCTTAGTGGCGAGAAGGGTATGGATGGAGACTTCTGTATCCTCTTCAAAGAATCTTGATAGGAAGAGTCTCTCTAGATCTGCCCACTTCTGGATACATCCTGTAGGAAGTTTCCTGAACCATTCAAAGGCAACCCCCTTGAGGGTGCCTATGAACAATCGAGCCAGTACGACGTCATTTGATATCACATTTCCAGTCTGTGACTTGAAATAATAGATATGTTGATTCGGTGATCCCGTGCCGTCAAAAGTTTGTAGCGTCGGGACTTCAAATTTTGGAGGATAAGGGGCTGCGTCCCATTCGGCAGGGTAGGGCCTGACAACTCCCTCATCTTGGAGCTCGCTTCTGTTAGCAATGACATTGAGGCGGGCTTCCAATTCCTCGATTTTAGCCGACTGAGGATTTTGCTCATACTCCGTCTCTCTTCCTTCATCAGAGGAAGATTCCAGGTTGTGGGCTTCTTGGTCAGAAGCCGTGTCATCAACCATTTTTCCCTTCCCTTTGCTTGAGTGAGGTCAGGACGAAGACGTTCTTTCCCTTCGGGAAGATTCTTGCCTGAGTGGCGAATCTGTCTTCTGAGATTTGGCCTTGTCTGCGACAAGTTGAGTCAACGGGGCCAAGAGTTCATTGATGGCCTCCTGCTGAGATTTGAGCATGGCCTCTTGCTCATCAGGTCTCTTTGCGAGATCTTCATGGTCTCCCATCATATAAGCGGAGCTCTCATGTTCAACAAAAGAGCTTGATGATTGGGACTCTGCAATGGCTGAGTGTTCATCATCGGAATTAATTCCTTTGGCTAACCTCCAATAGTTGATAGGGGGAATGGCTCCTGTTCGCGTCCGAGTGCGTTGGTAGATTCCTTCAAACTCGTTAGCGATTTCTCTGACGGTCGGTGAATGACTTGTCTCAGAGTCATCGGAACTAGGACCCGAGGCTTTGCCCCTACCGATCACATTGATAGTGACCCCAGGATACTCGGTCTCTGGAGATTTCTTCCTGTGAGAACGTCGTCGTTGGTTGGGCAAAACAACGTTCGTAAATTGGTGGAACACCAATAGTTGGGCCGCATATGAGCAGCATTGACATTCCGAGAGGACCGTAGAAATCAGTCGTTCATATTGGAATGAACGAATGGCGTGTTGCATCGGTCTTGCTCTCGATATGAACTCTCTCAAATCTGTTGTAAAGATTCGAGGAGAATTACTCACTGATTGTGAGGTTTGAATTGGAACCCCCAGTCCATGATTGGACAGGACTGGCTCTTGGTAAACATGGATCTGGTTGAGATGACTTGAATCCATGAACTTCTTATATCCGCCCCTCAATCTAGTCGCGCTACGCAGAGTATTCGGGGGTCTCGCTGTATTGGATTTGGATTTGGAACTTGGGATGCGAGGGTCGCATTTGGCACCTGAGACGCGAAGGTCGTGTTTGGCACCTGAGACGCGAAGGTCGCGTTTGGCACTTGAAACGCGAGGGTCGCGTCTGGCACTTGAAACGCGAAGGTCGCATTTTGGTTTGGCGACATGAGGGTCGCGTTCTTCATTGTCGACGCGAGGGTCGTGTTTTGACTGGGAAACGCGAAGTTGAAGTTCGCGTTCAACGAAGGCTTGAGGTCCACATCAGTCTGGTTCTCGCGAAGTTCATGTTTGGGCTCATAAACACGAGGCTTGTGTTCTAAAGTGGAAACACGAAGCTCAGGGCCGCGTTTAGGCTCACGAACGCGAAGCTCGCGTTGGTTGGAGGATCGACTTTCAGAGAGGGGACTGTATGAACAGTACAACCCCCAGGGGAGACATCCCTTTGATGAGTCGGTCACAATTGGAGCTTTAGTCTCCTTAGAAACTTTGTGGATCTTACGCATAGCCTTGGGGCTAAAGGATCCGGAGGAGATAGCCTCCTCAAACTTGGCTTGATCAAACTCTACCACGAGAGTTTCGACGGTTGTTCTAGTGAGATGAACATCGGATTGCGCCACCACTTCTTCATCAGAGAAGCTAGTCCCCAGCGGAGTCGCCATCTTTTGTTTGTTGAAAAATTACAGGAAAGAGAAGAAAAGAAATTTGACTTTGATTCCTTTGATTCCGGTTACAATTCGATTACAAAAAAGAGGAGAACGAATTTGGTTCTTCCCCTTTGTTTAAAACTGGGTTCTTCACGGTGGCGATGGAGTGCCTCCCTCGAATGCTCGCGTCGAGTTTGCTCTCCGTTGACGATCCGCACGTCTTGATTCACTGGAACGATGTCTTCTCCTCACGATTTGACGTTGTGGAGAACTTGCGTGGCAAGTTTTAGAACTCTGAACGAGTTGATAACTCTGAACGAGTTTTAACTCTTGAAAAAAAGTTGATTTAAACCGAAAATCAGTTAATAGCCAAGGATGAGGAAGCTCCTGTTGCCGAACGTTGAAGATGATCTTCCTTGAAGGATGATGTTGATCTCTTCTGAAGTTCGCCCAATGATCTCCCCTGTTGCTGCCAATTCTCAGCTCCAAAAAGCCAGCCTTCAATGGTCGATTCAAGCCAAGAAAAATCGAACCCTTAACTCAGTTGAGTTTACTCGCTTTTATAGGGGATTAAGGGGATGTAACTGCCCTCTAAATCCGCTCCTAAGTGGGCGTGATTTCCTCAGATCGTGGGGAAAACGGTTCTGAAACCGTTCGACTCATATTTGAATGAGTCAAACGCCCAACCTGGCGTTCAGGACCCTAACCTCGCGTCTTAGGATTGAGACGCGAGGTTGGGTGTTGACTGAACATCCAGAACGCGAGGGTCTCTCACGTTTCGCTTGTTGTAACGCGGGTCCGACTCCAGCGTTTTGATATTGTAACGCGGGTTTGACCCTGGCGTTTTGATGTTGTAACGTGGGTTTGACCCTCGCGTTTTGATGTTGTAACGCGGGTTCGACCCTCGCGTTTTGATGTTGTAACGCGGGTTCGACCCTCGCGTTTTGATGTTCGATCTACGTGAAAGTCTTCAAATTGTAGCCTTCTGGAAGTCGTCAAATTGTAACTTCCATCATCGGTGTTTGATGGGGGATAAGCTATCTATTATGATTTTTAGATAGCCTATAGAGACCTTTGGTATAGAGATGTTACCCCATAATTTGTTGACATAGGACTCCATTGATTTAAATTTGACATTTAATCCTATGACATGTCCAATTAAAGCATTTTTCCATAAACCTTCTCCTTCTTTCCATTCTTCAGCAGAAAATGAGACTGTATTGGAGTTGGAAGATGGCAAGAAATTCAGAGTTAATCCATTTCCTGCTTTCCTATTATCAGCAAATAGGCTAGCAAAAGTTTTGTTCATCATTTCATTATTAATCACATTATTTTGAGCCTTAACAGCCTCATCCTGGACTTCATTCTCCTTTATTTCCAAATTAGAATTCACAGGATTTTTATCAATATTTCCTTCTATGATCTCCTCAATAGAATTAGTCAAATCATTCGATCTATCCTCAGACAACTTATTCACATCATTTATCAATGAATTAGTGTCAAAATCAAGCATCGATTCAGAATTCACTTTTTCAGAGGCAAGAACTCTAGAAGGAATATCAGAAAGATTTTGAATCAAATTAGAATCAGAAGAAATCACCTCCAATTCGACCTCATCTGCCCAAGAAACCCTAGATGAGCTGCTGGCGCCATCACAAGAATTTACAGATTTACTTAGGAGACGACGAGCTTGAATTCCATTCAACTAGGAAGAACTCATATCATGCTGAGAATCAACCAAGAAATCAGAAGATCGGAGTATTTCCTCCATTGATTTCTTCTTCTTTTCCCCTTTTGGACCTGTCGAGCCCATAGCTATGTTGCTGATTCCTTCATCATCCTCAGCCAAACTTGTATCAATTTGATCCCCCAATCTAATCAAACTTGAATTGGATGCTCTCAATCCTATGTTGAAGAGATTTTTCCCACTCACCTTCTTCTTCTTCGCCATGAAAAACTAGGCGGGGGCGCAAGTTAGCAAGAAACAGATCTCCCGCTAACTTGCACCATCAGCCAGCCAGCCACTGTGTTTCTTTTTATTATATTAATGTTTATCTTGGGCAATTGTATTGTTATCATAATGAGCATAAGAAAATTCTGCAAGGAAGAAGGAAAGGGAGAATGAGGGAGAGAAAGGAGTGTAATCATTTTTAGGATTGTGCTAATCGGACATGGCCTTTGTATCATGTGCACTATTAAAAAGTAGTAAACAGTTATACGATTTACTTTAGCTCTATAGTTTATCCCAGTTTCCACTCAAGAGCAATTGATTGCAACCATACACTAGATAATTGACTTCTATGATTAAGACAGTGGTCTCTCTCTGGTAATTTTGATAGCAAAAGAGAATCCTAATCTTAAAAAAAATTTGGACACGAGTGCAATTGGTCTCACCTGTCTCTAGCTCATATTCAAAGCTTAACACCAGGTCCCATGCATCTTACCACGATCCTCAAGAGAAGTATTAATCGTCACGCTCTTATTTCAAGGAAATCACGTCCCCATACACGGTAAATAAAGAAAAGAACACATACATCCGTCGTCAAGCAAAGTAAGGGCATCTCCAACAGCTTCTCCAAAATTTTCTTCAAAATGGGGAAGCAAAAGTCATATTCTCCAAATTATTTTTACACCAACTCCAATAGCTTCTTTATTTTGAAGAATACATTTTTTCCTCTAAAAATTTGGAGAATGCTGCAGATTTGGAGAAGCTTCCCTATTTTTTTTCCTCCATCCCTATTTTGGGGAATGAGATAGGAAATCTATTAGACTAAAAAACTAACTAAATTTTCCAAAAGTAGGAAATAAGGAAGCTGTTAGAGATGCTCTAACTACCACACTCATCAGTGACACCGTGGAAGCGGAGTTCCGCAGAGACACTTGTTATGGAGGTACGACGGGCTGTGGAAACGCCTCATCTTGCCTCCCGTCGGAATCCTCCCGCAAAGCCTGTTGTGGCTCAAGTCCAGTTTCATCAGTCCTGTAGCCTTGGTGATCTGCCGAGGGATGCCACCCCTGATTCTATTCCGGCTCAGATCCAGGGCCACCAAGTCCCGCGCGAACATCAGCTCGGACATGTCGAAATTAAGCTCGTTGCTCGACAAATCGATCTCTCTCGCCCATTTATCCGTTCCGAACAGAAACGAAGCATCCCCGGTGAGAAGGTTTCGAGAAAGATCAACAGTGTCAAAGTTTATCCTGCCGAGCTCTCTCGGTATAGGGCCACTGAGGTGGTTACGAGACAACGCCTCATCTTGCCTCCCGTCGGAATCCTCCCGCAAAGCCTGTTGTGGCTCAAGTCCAGTTTCATCAGTCCTGTAGCCTTGGTGATCTGCCGAGGGATGCCACCCCTGATTCTATTCCGGCTCAGATCCAGGGCCACCAAGTCCCGCGCGAACATCAACAAGTTGAAAGTGAGGAGCTGAGTCAGGCTTCCTATAGCCGAGGGGATCGAGCCCGAAAGGCCCGTGTTAGTGATCGCGAGTTGTTTGAGGCCCGTGAGCTTGGTGATGGAGGGGCCGGGTATTGGGCCTGTGAGGTTAGGGAGGTTGTGGAAGTCGACGTAAGCGAGGACGGGGAAGTCGCCGATGACGGAAGGGATTGGGCCGGATACGGTG